ATGTTCATTGCAGCTCTATTTACAATAGCAAGGACATGGAAGCAACCAAAGTGTCCATCAACAGATTAATGTAATGGATAAAGAAGATATGGCACATATATACAATGGAATATTACTCAGCCATAAAAAGGAATGAAACTGAGTTATTTGTAGTGAGATGGATGGACATTAGAGACTTTCATATAGAGTGAAGTAAGTCAGAAAGAGAAAAACAAATACTGTATGCTAACACACATATATGGAATAAAAAAAGTTCATGAAGAACCTAGGGGCAAGATCGGAATAAAGACACAGACCTACTAGAGAAATGACTTGAGAATATGCTGATGGGGAAGGGTAAGCTGGGACAAAGTGAGAGGGTGGCATCTACATATATACACTACCAAACGTAAAATAGATAGCTAGTGGGAAGCAGCTGTGTAGCACATGGAGATCAGCTTGGTGCTTTGTGACCAACTAGAGGGGTGGGATAGGGAGGGTGGGAGGGAGGGAGACGCAAGAGGTAAGAGATATGGGAACATATGTATATGTATAACTGATTCACTTTGTTATAAAGCAGAAATTAACACACCATTGTAAAGCAATTATACTTCAATAAAGATGTTCAAAAAAAAACCTAATAATAGAACTACCATACGACCCAGCAATCCCACTACTGGGCATATACCCTGAGAATATCATAATTCAAAAAGTGTCATGTACCACAATGTTCATTGCAGCTCTATTTACAATAGCCAGGACATGGAAGCAACATAAGTGTCCATCAACAGATAAATTGATAAAGAAGATGTGGCACATATATACAATGGAATATTACTCAGCCATAAAAAGAAACGAAATTGAGTTATTTGTGGTGAGGTGGATGGACCTAGAGTCAGTCATACAGAGTGAAGTAAGTCAGAAAGAGAAAAACAAATACCGTATGCTAACACATATATATGGAATGTGTAAAAAAAAATTGTCATGAAGAACCTAGGAGCAAGACAGGGATAAAGACGCAGACTTATTAGAGAATGGACTTGTGGACATGGGGAGGGGGAAGGGTAAGCTGGGACGAAGTGAGAGAGTGGCATGAACATATATACACTACCAGATGTAAAAGCGATAGCTAGTGGGAAGCAGCCGCATAGCACAGGGAGATCAGCTCGGTGCTTTGTGACAACCTAGAGGGGTGGGATAGGGAGGGTGGGTGGGAGGGAGATGTGGAAGGGGGAAGAGACATGGGGATATATGTATATGTATAATTGATTCACTTTTTTCTAAAGCAGAAACTAACACACCATTTTAAATCAATTATACTCCAATAAATATATTTTTTTAAAAAAGAGTTCATATTGTATGCTTCCATTTTGGAAAATTCTCAGCCATTCTATCTTCTTATATCACTTCTCCCTCATTCTCTTATTACTCTCCTTCTGTGATTACTGTTACATATACCTAAACCCTATGACCTAACCCTCACGTTTCTTACATTCGGTTGTGTTTTGCTTTTTTTTATCTCTATGTGCTTCAGTTTGGATACTTTCTGTTTACTAGCCTTATGGTCATTTCTGTGCTCAGCTGACTCATTTCATCCATTGAGTTCTTAACTTCATATAGTCTTTTTTTTTTAATTTTAAAATCCCACTTAAATCTTTTCATAAATGCCAAATCTCTGTTGAAATTTCTTTCTACTCATCTATTTTATCTTTCTCCTCTCTTTTCTTAAGCATATTAATCATAATTATTTTAAAGTCTTTGCTAACTTCAACATCTGGATTATCTCTGGGTCAGCTTCTATTGTTTGCTTTTTCTCTTGGTTATTTATCCTAAGGCCCTGTTTCTACATATTCCTAGTAATCTTTAACTAATGCCAGGCATTGTCCATTAAAAAGTATAGAAGTTCTCAATGGTGTTGCCAGGGGGTTTACCCTTTCTTCTGCTAGGCAGATAGATTAAATGAGGTGCTCACCTTAATCCAGTCAGGTTAACCCCTCATCCTAGACTGCCTCAACTGATCCCAGACTGGTTTGGTTTGTTAATATATATTTAAAATTTTTGCATTTACTATGTTGAACCACATAAAATTGTCATTTTTCTAGGTTCAGATGGTTAGATATCAGCAATTTCATGTTGTGCAAGTTGTATGACTTAGGTCATTATTGGCCTGTAACTCCATTTTATACTGAATTTATCAAGTTTGATATAAGTGTTATATTGGAGAATTTCCAGTTCTTTACTTTTTTGATGTACTTACATAAGGTTTACATTATTCCCTCTTTAAATATTTGGTAGAATGTAACATTTAAATCACTTGGTTTTGCAATTTACTTTATGGGTTGGTGAAAATGTTTATAATTTCTTGAATTCATCATTCATATTTTTTGCATCATTTTGTGTTGGTTTGGTCAAATTTTTGTGCCTAGAAATTTGTCAATTTCATCTAAAGTTTTAATCTTATTAGTATGACAACATCTTACTAAATTTTAGTGTCTATAGGAATCTTATTCAACTTTCATGATTTAATGTGTATTTTACTAATGTTGATGTCTATGCAATCTATAATTGTGTTCTTTTCCATTCCTGATATGAATAATTTGTGTGATCTTGTTTTTAAAACAGATCAATGTTATTAGTATGAAATTTTTTTTACCTTGATCCCCTATATAGTATGATTTTTTTAATTTCATTAATTTCTGCTCTTCGTGTATTTTCTTTGAGATAAATTTGCTTTTCTTTCCTAACTTCTTATGATGGATATTTAGATCATTGCTTCAGCCTTTTATTTCCAGTTATTTATCTTTAAGTGTATAATTTTATCTTGGAACAGGGCTTTAGCTACCCTAAAATTTTGATATGTTGTGATTTCATTATCATTCAGCTCAAATCTAATATTCACTATGGTTTCTTTTTGATCCAGGGATACTTAGATGTAGATTTTATAATTTTCCATACAATGTTTTCTAGTTATCTCTTTGACATCAATTTCTAGCTTAATTCCACTGTGGTCAGAGAATATACCTCATATGATTTCAATTTTTATAATTTGTGGAAACTTCATAACTCACTGGTAATTTTTTTTATGAATACTTGAAAAAGAATGTGTATAACTGGTCTGATGAAGTCTTTCTGATGAGAAATCTGAAAGTGTTTCTGATAAGCTTATATACTTAACTAAATTTTTCTTCTGTGAGAATCTCTGTCTCTCTCTCTTTCTCCCACTCTTTGAAACTTTTAGGATCTTCTTTTGAACCCTGCTGTCTTGAAATCTTATAACTATTTGTGGGTCTTTATTTTTTAATTATCCTACTTGATTGTTTCAATTTTAAAATTTCTTTACCCATTTTACTCTGGTAAAATTATCTTTTTTTTTTTAACCTTTGAATAATTTCCTCCCCTTTATTTTTCCTCATCTCTTTCTGGAAATCCTGTTTCTCAGATGTTGAACTTCTTAGATTTGCCCACCATACTAATTTTCTTTTCTCACTTATTTTTCACTTTATTTTTTTCTTCTATATTTTAGGACATTTTCTTGACTCTTTCTTCCCAATTTCCATTACATTTTTATAACCTAAATTTTAATTTACAGTAATTTATTCTGATTCTTTAACCTTTATTTAATAACTTGTCTTTTTAATGTTATTGGAGATAACAGGGGAACTTTTTTGTTCATTTGCGTGTCTGATTCTCTTCTGTTCTCCAAATTTCTCTTTGTTTCTTTCTGTTTTCTGTCTTTTAACGTTGGTCTTTTTTCACATTGCAGGCTTTTCTCAAGTATCTTGCAATCATTTCACCAATTTACTTTTAAGACTGAAGAAGATTAAAAGGTAAAGTTAGAGTTGTGTTAGTTGAGTGAGCCATGGACGATCAAACCTTATCAGCTGATGGGGAACGAGCTATTTCTCTGGAGCACCCTTCTCCTAGAAAAGCAACAGGATATGGAGGGCTTCACCTAGATAGAAAAGAGCTACACTTGCTATTCAAGACTTCCACATATGGCTTGTTCCACATCTTTTAAAAGGAATCAATGTTTTGTTTGTGGTCTGTTTGATTGGTTGGGTTTTGCCAAGGGATAAATGTCGGCTAAAGGTCATGCTGTGAATAGGGGTAAGGGTGCAAGTTGACTATTGCATTTACAAAGGTTCAATTTATCTCCCTGTTTCCTTCCCCACTTTTCATTCACATTCTTTCCTGTGCAAAGAGTCTCAAGCCTTTCTAGGATTTTACCAGGGAAGTCTATTGCCTTTAGCTGCAGTTTCCTTGGAATTAAGAATGCCAATACAGAGAGTTGGTTCCTTCTCGTTGTTCAAGTTTCAGCTCCATTTCAGCTCCAGTGTAACCCCAGAAAAGTCCACCATGACCACCTCAGCTAAATAAACCCCACTTCTAACCACTCTCTATCATGGCTCCCTATTTTGTCATCCTTATAACATTTATCATCACCTGATCTTGTTATTTATTCCCCTCTTAAAATGTAAGCTCGAGGATAGGAATTTGTTTATCTTATTCACATCTATATCCTCAGTGCCTCTACCAATTCTTATAACATGAGAGGTGCTCAGATATTTATTAAATAAAGGCATAGCCATTAGTTACTGGCAGGGTGGGGAGAAGGAAAGATGCTTCGGTTTCAGCAAAAAATTCAACCAGCCCAGGCTGAGCCCCATTCCCACAACTTCTCCTCATCCAACCTCAAATCCACTCAATCTTCTCCATGGCTAGAGAATCAAGGATGATAGGGTCTCACTTTCACCAGCCCTTGCCTCACCCACCTCCAGTTCCTATATCCCTAGTATGTTGTTTGTTACATCTCTTTGGTACATTTTAGAATCTCTGCTTCTCATGACCTCTCCAAACACAATGCTCATTATTGTGATCTTGACCCTGCCTTACTTTCATCCTGTCTACCTATCTGTGTTTCAAAAGAGTAGATTAGGTAAGAGCAAGCAAAGAGCGATAAATTGGAATTGAAGAAGACAAATTTCCTCTACTTGCCACTTGAGACAAAACAGGTACTTTACCCCAGGGCAGCGTCGTGCTGGGATCTTGTCCCTTCATGCTGTGTCACGCTGGCATCAGAAGGACTGTCTCAAAAGCATCTGTGTCATCTGCCTCAAATATGTATCATACAGGACGCCAGACTGTCCAGTCTCAAATCCTTTTTAGGCTGAGAGGAGGTATAAGTGAATGAAGTAAGAATAAACAAGATAAAAACGTGTTTTTACTCTGGTATTTTATTAATCATAAGTGGACACCCTGACCTAGAGAAACACAGTTAGATGCAAATTTGGACAGACGTTGGCCAGAACCACTGCTTGAGTTCCTTTGAAAGCCAAGCTATGAAAGCTAAAAAAGTACATGAGTGCCATCTAGGGTTAAAACTCATACTGCAGGCTTTCTAAAGTCTCACAAAAGGGGTCACAGAGATTTGCTCCCAGAGACCCTAATCTTCTCAGTCTGATGGGCATCACTATGCAAGTTATTTCACGTCTTGGGTCAAAATCTGCCTCCACTTCCCTGACCACTGCAGACAACGGTAACCTCCCTTTCCCTGACTGTTTCTAGTGTATTTTCTTTATCATTAATTCAGTCCCAAGTCAGAACACTTTCAATCTTCAACAAACACTTTTTAACCCATTTTTTGTGCCAGATTGTGCTTGACAAAGAGCCTGTCTGCTGACTCACAATGAGTCAGTCCCTGGGCTGGAAGGGACATTGTGCAGCCCCCTGGTCCCCTCGGCAGGAGCACCTTATACAACATATCTGAAAGGTGTCCCCTGCCCCTGTTAGGACAGGACCCTCTGGAAAAGCATGTCCCACCATATCCAGGACAGGTGAACATTGCAGGCAGGTCACTATGCTGTGCAAGTCATGGGTTTGGGAGTGAGTGAGATGTGCCATTGAATCCCAGCTCTGCCACTTACAGAATGTGCAAACTACTGAATCCTGAGCAAATTGCTCCTCTGAGATTTGATTTCCTAGTTTGTTAAATGGAATGATAATATTCACCTTGTGGTCTTATGGTAAGGATTAGCGATAGTATTTATTATTTATATAGGACCTAGCACAGTTCCTGAAACAAAGAAGGCGCTAAGAACTTATTAGCTTTTTCTATCAGTCTAATAATAATAAAAATTCGAACTATGAGATTAACTCTCTTACCTTACAAAATTGTTGAAAGGATTAAATTATGGACACAAGCGTGATAGACTGCCAAGTGAGACAGAACTGAAGATTTTTTCATCATGAGAAATTTTTTTTTTTTTGCTTTACGCGGGCCTCTCACTGTTGTGGCCTCGCCCGTTGCGGAGCAACAGGCTCCGGACGCGCAGGCTCAGCGGCCATGGCTCACGGGCACAGCCGCTCCGCGGCATGTGGGATCTTCCCGAAATTGCCAGTGATTTCTACCTGACAAATATTGTAAGTTTTATTATCTTGCAGTAGATCTTCAGTTTTCCTTTGAATACCTCAGATGTACGTCTTAGTTATTGCAAAAAAAAGACCACAAAGTACACACTGAGATGTGGGATGGGTATAACAGAAGGCTTTAGGCTCACAAAGATTGTTCTTTGCAAAACCTCCCGAGATCTGACTACTTAGGAGAAGGAGATGAACTTGCATGGAGTTAAGGAATCTCTAGGAAGATTCGAATCTCCTTGATAGATTGAGTGCACTTGGAAGCATCGCCAAACCCTTTGTGCTACATGACATTCTGGGAAGTTGTTGACATTCTCATACCTCAAGGAGGCTAGATATTATAAGCAGGCAGGCCTTGAACAGTTAATTAAGAAGTAAAAGGCTTGTAAATCTTTTTTATGCTTCAGACTGGTGAAGGGGGTCATTCAAGCATCGCACCTGGACAACACCAGCGCTTGAGTAATGGTGGTTCGTAGAACTGAGAGGATTGTTCCTGGTGGTTTCTTGCTAATCCAAGTCAGAGCTCGTGTCATCTGGCAGCAGTATCATCTGGGTCCCCTTAGCATCCTCTCTGTGATACCTACTCCGTGGCTAGGCCAGAGCCCTCTCAAGATTGAGAGAAAGACTGCAGAGCAGAGGGGCAGGCCAGGCTGCCAGATTCGAGAAATACCTCAAAATAATGCTTGCCTTTTGGACATCTCTAATAAGAACAACTTGCTCTGGGACTTCCCTGGCGGTCCAGTGGTTGAGACTTTGCCTTCCAATGTAGGAGGTGGGTTCGATCCCTGGTCTGGGAGCTAAGATCCCACGTGCCCCCTGGCCAGAAAACCAAAACATAAAACAGAAGCAATATTGTAACAAATTCAATAAAGACTTTAAAAAATGGTCCACATCAAAAAATTCTTTAAAAAAAAAAAAGAACAACTTGCTCAAAGTGGTGAATCTCGAGAGTAGCTGCCCAAGCTGCAGACTGTTTTCCCTTTTCCTTCCCCCACTCCCCAGTGTTCTGTTTCTGGCACATTTTGCAGGATACAGGGAGCACAAACAGGGGAGGGGATGAAGCAATAGTTCTCGTGGATATGACGAAGTCCAGAGGCCTCGAATCGTCTCTTGAGTGTGTTGTACTTTCTCTCCCGGTGGACTTCCTGTGTTTGTTACATGAATAATGCACTTTTAAGCACTTGAAACAACACTACGGTAACCTTAACAAAATGGCAATTTGAAGGTAAACTGCCATTACTAATTTGCATCTCAACAGTGTAGCCTTCTTTAGAATGCACACTTCATTACATTAGAGGCCTGGGGAATAAATCCTATTCCCATCGCCTATTGATGGAATTACCCTACGGACACGAACATGCAGATCTGCCTTGAGGTTTACTGGGGACAAATATCAGCTCATTGTCCTAATGGTGAAGTGACATCATCTACTACTACAGGATACAAATTAAATGTAGTGAAATGCCTTAAAAACAATCTCAGAATTACAGGCAATGGGAGTTTGAGGGGTCCAGAAAAATAACCCACGTCTTTCTCAGCCGTGGCGGCAGACCGTAATCACCTGGGGAGATTTAAAAAATAGCAATGCACAGGCCCCACCTCAGGCCTAAAAAGTCAGAGTCTCTAGGGCGAGGGCCCAGTTATCAGGATATTTTCAAACTTCCCAGGTGATTAATAAGTACAGCCCAGAATGAACACCGCTGACATAAGTCAGCCCCGCGATTTTGCAGGCGGAGGCTCCGAGGCCCTACCGTGGAGGGTAGCTAACTGGTCCAGGGCTCCCAGGGGTGGCTGGAGAGCAGAGACTGGAGCTTCGTGCTCTGCCCAGCTGGCACTCTTCTCTCTTTGGTTCCCTCTTCCCCTGTGAATAAGGAATGTTGCCCGCCCTGTCAGTCAACAAAGGGTGCTGCAGACGTCAGGTGAGCCCTGTGGGAGCTCAGGATGGAGACAGACAGGCTCCCTGCTGTCCAGCCCTCAGCCACTGCAGCCACCCCAGGGGTGCACCCTGAGTGGACTCAGGATGGGAAAGAACAGGATACTGGCTCTAGAGAGCTAAGATGAATATCAGAGGAATGATTTCAGTGAGCCCAGACTCTTGCATCTTCCCATACACAGAAAAGCGCTAAATTCATTTACTTGAGATATCTGGTTTTCTTCAATTAACAGTGATCTTTGATGTTTTCACTACCTGGTCGTTGTTGCAAAAACTCCTGTATATCCCGGCTCCTCCCTTACCTCTTGGGAGCAGTCCCTCAGAGCTATCTGAGAGGCTGCCTCCCAGGGTTAAGGTCCTTAGAAAGTCCACCAAATAAAACATAATTCTCAACTTTTAGGTTGTGCTTTTTTTTTTTTTTAGGGGACACCCCGATGGCCCCCCCACCTCCGGGTCTCTATTTCATTCAGTGACTCATCAGATTTGTATGGTGCACCTACTGCGTGCCGGAGAACTCCACTTCTGGGATATGCCCTTAGCCAAACCTTTCCCACTGCAGTGATTTTCTCAACGTTCCTGAAAGGCTTGGCTCCTGCAAGCTGGCTCCTGACTAATCTGACCGCAAGAGGGAGCCAAGCACCCTCACTCTTTTTTTTTTTTTTTTGCAGATGGCCTAATTTTATTTTATTTATTTTTTTCACATCTTTATTGGAGTATAATTGCTTTACAATGGTGTGTTAGTTTCTGCTGTATAACAAAGTGAATCAGCTATACGTATACATACATCCCCATATCCCCTTCCTCTTGCGTCTCCCTCCCACCCCCTATCCCACCCCTCTAGGTGGTCACAAAGCACTGAGCTGATCTCCCTGTGCTATGCGGCTGCTTCCCACTAGCTATCTATTTTACGTTTGGTAGTGTATATATGTCCACGCCACTCTCTCACTTTGTCCCTGCTTACCCTTCCCCCTCCCGTGTCCTCAAGTCCATTCTCAACTGAGTCTTCATTCCTGTCCTTCCCCTAGGTTCTTCAGAACCATTTTTTTTCTTTTTTAGATTCCATATATATGTGTTAGCATACGGTATTTGTTTTTCTCTTTCTGACTTACTTCACACTGTATGACAGTCTCTAGGTCCATCAACCTCACTATAAATAACTCAATTTTGTTTCTCTTTATGGCTGAGTAATATTCCATTGTATATATGTGCCACATCTTCTCTACCCATTCATCTGTCGATGGATACTTAGGTTGCTTCCATGTCCTGGCTATTGTAAATAGAGCTTCAGTGAACATTGTGGTACATGACTCTTTTTGACTTATGGTTTTCTCAGTGTATATGCCCATTCCCACTCTTTCTTTATACAGACCCACAGGTGAGAAGAATCAAAGAGAGGACAAGCAGCCTGCAGAAGCCCGGCTGGCGGGGAGGGGGCCAAGAAATGACCTCTGATAAACTTTCAGGCAAGAGGCACTGTGCTATCCACCCTGAAGAAGGCAATGTGCTACCCAGAACCCAGCAGGCTTTCCAGCCAGGCCTACCTGGGGCCTTCCTGGTTGAGAGTGCATCTCAGACCATCATCTGTGAAACAAGCACAGAGGCTTGTGTGAGGAGGAGTCAATGTGACTAAGCTGTGAGTGTGCCTGGAATCCAGTAAGCGTCCACTGAACAGCAGATACCACCTTCTGATGTCCCGCCCCTGCCCTTTCTCCCCTCTTTCTTATCCTCATCTGTTGTAAACAATGTTTTTCCCCCTAACTTCCAATGTGATGAGCCTTTGGGAGGTGATGAGGTCATGAGGGTGGACCGCTCATGAA